TACCACACTGAGGGACACTTTCAAGGGAGATTTTAGGTGTCCTTCTAACAGGCTAATCAAGTTCTTTTATCTTGCAAGATCATAATATTTATCTAAATTAATATGAACACTAACAGATAACAATACATTGAGTATTAGTTAAAGTTTGAGAATCAACCACAGTGTTAATGACTTAAAAAGCATGGCATTTAAATATTATCTAACTAAATTTACAGCATAATCTGAGAAACAAGGCAGTATCATCTTTCTTTGTGGTCTTGATCTTTGTTGTCTTGTAGGAGGAACCAAACTGCCTAAGCCACGAACTGAGTGCACTTTCAGTCGTGTGATTGTTTAATTCTGAATACTTGGAGCTCCCAGAGGATTTAGGATTGGAGTGAGCTGAAGCCAGGGCTGTTACTGATCAGCCCTGTTAGAAGCCAGCTTGGCATGTACAATGTGCCCACTATGTGTTTGCTGATTGGGATAATGAGTATTTGAATGAGTAATGAAGTAGGACACATTTTCATATGGAAACTAACAGGGTATTCCTTTTGTTCTGTAATCCAAATCAGTCACCTCTGAGACTGTTTACAAAATTCTAGACAGATGCTTGCAAATGAGAAAGATGGCATTCACAGTCCTGGAGATGGCATAGAGCACCCTCCATCTTCATTTTGATGGCCATCTGTCCCACTTCCAAATGAGGCACCAATTCAGTTTAACTCACAATTCGAGATGAGCCCCCCTCCTGCCTCAGCCCCAGTCTTCTGGGGCTTTCAGAAAGGAAGAATAGAGGAACTCACACACACTCCCAGGGACACACAGACACGTCAGTCAGTTGTTGAAGAAGCCTCATCGTTCTGAGTCTAAACACAAGAGGGCTATTTCTTACTCATGTAGCAGCCTAATGTGGGTTTAATGCTGCTCGCCCCAATAGATTTCCCTCTATTGATTCAGGAGTACAGCTTCACCTTGCTGGGACTCTCCAGTGCTACCACCCAGTTCTCCCACCGTGTGCAGCAAAAGAGCCTGGGAAAGTACATTTGCTTCCTCAAAACTCTGGCCCCAGATGAAGCACATCATTTCCACTTGCGTTCTTTGCTAGAGAGTTCAGCTGTAAAGACTTCTAAGGAAAGCTAGAAAATGCTACTTGCCAACGGGTAAAGAAAAAAAGGGGGGAGGGGGAAATTGTTGAGCAAATTTCTGGGTGTCTTTGCTCTACTCTACCCAATCAAGCAAGGCAAAGGAATGCCTGAAATCAGTACACAGAGCTTTGGAATGTTGATAGGGAAGCACTGGGGAATAACTTTCAACATCTAAAAGGCCTGTGGTTAAAGAACAAAAAACAGGGGAGTTATTGATAGGAAAAGGTAACATGCAACAGTCATAACCAAAATGAACTGAGATTGATGCCAAGAGGATGAGGGTGGGGAGGAGTGAGGATGGGGAGGACTGAGGATGGGGAGGAGTGAGGATGGAGAGGAGTGAGGATGGGGAGGAGTGAGGATGGGGAGGAGTGAGGGTGGGGAGGAGTGAGGATGTTGAGGAGTGAGGATGGGGAGGAGTGAGGATGGGGAGGAGTGAGGATGGAGAGGAGTGAGGATGGGGAGGAGTGAGGATGGAGAGGAGGGAGGATGGGGAGGAGTGAGGGCGGGGAGGAGTGAGGATGGGGAGGAGTGAGGATGGGGAGGAGTGAGGATGGGGAGGAGGGAGGATGGGGAGGAGGGAGGATGGGGAGGAGGGAGGGCAGGATGGAGTGGAGACAGGAAGGGATGAAGGCAGGGAAGGCATAAGAATATAAAGGGAAGTCAGCTTTTGTATGTGTCAGAGATCAACCAGAAATTATTTTAATAATCTTTTTGCCTTGCCTTTCCTGTCTTCCTTCTCTAAGTAATTAAATAACAAACAGCTCCAACCCTTCACCACAAGTATCTTAGCCCCTAATGTGAAGATATGAAATAATTAGAGGATGTGCTGTGTAAGGAGTTTAATGCTGTAGACAACTTCTGTTTTCAAGACTGAGCTAATTATAGAGCATGAGGCGGAATAAAGGGATGGCTCACAATGAGCAGAGCAGTCTTCCTGCAAGGCAGCTTGGTCCAGGCGCTTTGTTGAGCTGTGTCTGTGTTAGACCAACAGTCACCTGGGATTCATCTTTTAGAAGAATCCTTTGAAGACTTCAGAAACTCCAGATCTGTCCATTTCCTACTTGACTGTGTTGATAGAATACAAGACTTTAAAATCCAGTTTAGTGGTAGAGGGCACACAGCAGGCCCATATGGAGAAGGAGCCTGCTGTGTGGTGCTCTCCCACTCCGTGGCTTGGTGATCATATTCGGTGAGCTCTTTCTCACATTCTTGCAGAGCTGGGGCTGTATTGAAAACTGGCTTTTAATCTTAGATCCATTTCCTTCTCTTCTTCCCTTTTCCTTTCCTTTATCAAGATCTCATTCACTTCAAATAAAAACCCTTAAGTGAACGTTCAGAATGCTACAAGAATGGCTGAGATACCAGATGAATGCATTTCCTCTAAACCCTGGAAAGCCCAATAAAGGGCATGACCACATCAGTGGCTCCAGCTGAGCAGTGTCAGGGATGAGGAAGTACCTGGGCAGTCTAATCCCAGGAGGCATCCTCAGAGGGCTGACTCAGCTCTTCCCTTCCAAAGAAAATAAACTGTATGCCAGGACACAATGTGCCTTTTGCTGTCTGGATGTGTATGTGGAGGGGGCAGTAGTATTCTGTTTGCAAACAAGATCTTAAATGCAAAAGACATACCTGCTATGTAAACACTAAAGGTTCTGTGAACAGTCCTTTAAAAGTTTGTACCTTTTCCTGGATTTTGTTGGCAGAAAATTAGGAATCGATACGAAAAGTTAAGAGTTCAAAAACCTCCCAATATTACACATTATTCATTGGAAAATATTGTGGGCTGCCCTTCCTAGTCTTCAGTGCAGCTCAGTGTGGGTTGAAAAGAAGAAAGCCCTTAGCTCCCAAACAGGCATTAGGATTGCATTATCATATCAATAGCCCACATGCAAAGTTCTTGATAAAAACGCTTACAATCTAGAGGCATTCGATAAAATATGAGAGTTTGATTTGGGTAAACAAATCAAAGGCATTTTCAGTCAAACTACTTAATCTGTTTAAGGCACTGCCAGGAATATAAACATCAGAGGAGCCAAGCATGGAGGCAGCTTGGGGTAGGAAAATCTCTGAAGATTGCTCCTTTTTCCTAATTTACTGTAATCTAGCCATGTTGGCCCTCTTTCAGTGCTGGGAGGCAGCCAGGACTAAGGCTTCTGGTGTGAACATCCCCTATGATTTATCACCAGTCCTCTTTGCAGATACCTCTTGGAATGGGCGGGGCAGGCTCAGTTCTATACAGTATTAACAAAAGCTTCCTCACTGTGCTGGTTTGATACACTTGATCCTGCTGTTCACAGTGGATTGCTGGGGCCCTTTGAGCGATAGAGGCTCCAAATGAGAGAGTAACCCCATCTCGAGTCAGATCACAAGATAGACTGCCACAGAGAATGGGATCTATGATATGTCCGGAAAGTGAGGTGTGTGGGACCAGTTCTTTAGGTTCTCATACCTTGGCTGGCTTCCCTTTCTACAACAGGTTGCAGTCATTCATACAATCTGAGAACTTGTGTTTCTTCCTGGTGTTTGTCACAGTTAGTAGTTGTCTTATTGGTTTATTGTTTAGTTTTGTGTTTAGTTGGTTTCCATTGGCCTCTTAGATCCCTACAAGGAAAGACAGTGTGGGCAGTTTGACTCTGTGCTCTATTTTGCCTTGTGTATTTAAATACTCAATACATTGGTTTAAATTTGGAGACTCCTGTGGCTATAACAGCATGAATGTCAGTTGACATCTGCCCTTTGGGGTGCATGATGATTCCATTCCACCATGCCTTATCTTACCTCTGGCCTTGAGATGACAGGGCAGAGATAGAAATAGACTGGGAATGTTATCAAGAAGAAAAGGCTCAAAACCCACCCACTAGAACATCATAGAAGTCAGAAAGGGTAGTGAAAACCAATATAGCTGCTGCAAACTGATGTAAACAAAGACAAAGAGGAAGGACCACAGTGCATTGGCATGTTGTTGAGTTTGATTTTGGAAAATCGGCTTGCTGGGATTAACTCAGAGCTCTCTCCCACCCTGCACTGGCAGCTGTTCTCATGGTCCAGCTAGCACTTAGAAGGTACTTGGAGACAGCTGGTCATTTCATGAGTAAAGAAACTGTAGTTTAGACAAGATATGAGATCAGTCGCAAGTCATAAGAAGGTTATGGTAAGAAGCAAGCAGAATCCAGTCCTCTTGAGGGACTGTGCTCTTTTCTCCAACCACATTGCAGAAAGTTTGCCAACAATTTTATGCTATTTAGAGCAAATGACATATAAGGATGTTTTCCTTATTATTCCCTTTAGTAAAATTATTTTAATACCATTTGCATTTATATATTTTTAATAATCCTGCCATCATTTTAATATACAAATTTTGTATGTTTAACTGAGTAAGAAGTGACTGAAGCACAATTGCCTTGTGAGGCAAGGTTATTTCAGCAAAGATTCAAGAAACAATTAGCAATGGCCTTGAAGGAATGGATTTTAAATAAGAATTGTCTCAGGTTACCTGAAGGAAATCGGTGGTCCCCAGGAATTTATTTTCAAGGAGGCCATTTACTAAAACCAGTTCAAAACTATAAATATGGTTTTTAAGGCTGCCTTTCTCAGCAAGGGTATTTTACATGCACGTTAGGATTTAATTAAATAAATAAAACTTCATTTAGGCAACAGGAGAGCCAAAGGCTTAATGAGGGTGAGAGTTACCCAAGCTCTAGTGAAACAACCTTACTTTCCAAGTGGTGGCCAAGTATATCAAGAGAGGGTAATAAAATGATGATCAGCATTTCTTATCACTCACTAGCTACTAGACTTCTGATCTTGTAGCATTGTGCTGACTTTCCTCAGTGACTAGCTCCACAAATGAGCAGCAAGCTCTTCTCCTACCTGCTGGACCACACCTGCTGCCTCTGCTTTCTTCTCACCCCAACTGCAGACAGCATCTAGCGTGGTCTCCATTGGTCGGCAGAGACTTGAGAGGCTCACTCCAGAAGCTGCTGTTCACCAACTTGCAGAATCCTAAGTAGACATGAGAAAGAGGGAAAGTGTTACATATAACAGAAGCTGGTTGGATTTGAGAGAACAAAGGTAGGATTCCCCAATTTAAAAAGATTTCCATTTAGCAGAATGGGATATGGGCACGTTGAAGAAAAGTTTCAAAAATTTAAAAAGCAGAAAAGAGAGTTTGAGTCAGTTCCAGGGCAGCATGAGAAGGCCAGTTGAGTAGACAGAAGAGAAGCAGTCTGGGTGTGAAGTGACAAGGGATGTGTCTGTGGGGTGACCATGTGACCTGCTGGAGAGCCAGCTGTGACTCAGGCTGAACTGGCAGTTGTCATTGATGCCATAAGAAAAAAGGCACAATGATGATGCCATGACCAGATTTTCAAGGAAACAAGAAATATGAACTTGATGTGGACTTTCTTGAGTTGTACAAGGTAGGATTTAATTCATTAGATAAAACTTAATATAGGCAACAGTAAAGTCAAAGCCTTAATGAGGACCAGAGTTAACCATGCTCTAGTGCAACAGTCACACTTGCCAAGCAATGACGGATTGCATCCAGAGACGGGAAGCTGATTGAGCAAGTCAAAGCTAAGGTGTCAGGGAGCAGTGTCACCTCTTTCCAGTAGGATCTTTACTTTTACTTGTGGCCACTCGAAGACTGGCTGAAACTGATCAGATCTGCTTAAATAATTGGTTGAGGGCCAATAAAAAACTCCCTTTCCTTGATCTGATTCTGGGTTTTCAAACTGCCAGTGTTCAAAGTTTCCTGATGGGGGACTGGTGGGATTCTAGTCTCACCATTCATAGTTGGAAGGGTGCTGAGAAAATTTATGACTACAATGCATATTTTTGTAGAACAAATTCTAATTGTTCTTTTTTTTTGGTGGTGGTGGGGGAAGTTTGGAGACACAGTTTCTCTGTGTAGCTTTGGAACCTGTCTTGGAACTCATTCTGTAGACCAGGCTGGCCTCGAACTCACAAAAATCTACTTGCTCCTGCTTTCTGAATGCTGGGGGATTAATGGCCACAATTACCTGGCCTCTATGGGTAACTAGTGTGGCTTCTGGGATTAAAGATGTGTGCCACCACTGCCTGGCTACTATGGCTAACTACTGTGGCTAGCTTTGCACTCTGATCTTCAGGCAAGCTTTATTTGTTAGATCATAAATAGAATACCACCACATATTGTTCCATATCTGTAGCAGGACTCCAATCCTAGGATCTGTTTGGATGGATTTGAGCCAGAGAAGTTATCTGTGAGGAGGTAAAGGTGGCATATGAACAGAAGCATTGTCTAGTGGGTCTCCTGGAGTCATATGCTGGTTCAAGTTGGTAAATACAATCTGATTGTCTTTACATGGCTGTTATTTTTAAGTGATGGATGTGTTTAGATTGGGTTTAAATATAACTTAACCTCTAAGTCCTACATGCAAAACAAGGGAAACAACAGCACCTGTATCATTGAGTTGAACTGAGGAAAAAATAGTATTTGCACAAGGGAAGCAAACATGCTCACTATATTGGTAACAAGTGCTAAGTAGTATTTGTAGCAATTGCACATTACTGAATGTGGATTATACTTGAATATCATTATAATTGTTAGCTACCACTATCACCAGAGTCTTCTTAGGTTTTTACATTATTTGTCCTTTGAGAACTAAACACCTTGTGCAGAGTATTTAGAGGAGACATTGATTGAACACAGGTCTATTCAGCCTGTCATTGCTTAGTCCACCTCTCCAGAGCTCTGTCAGTGTTCAGCTCAAGGTATCCTTCATGTAGTCAAAAGCAGCAAATTGAATCTGGTCAAACATCAAATACTACAAAGAAAAACCATAGCAAGCATTCTAAGTCCCTACAATACTTGGTAATGTCTTATCATATGAAAATCTGCATTATTCTGAAATGAGATTGTACCATATAACTAAGAACAGATGAGAGTGTGTAGTTGATTTTTAGGCTATATGAATTTTACATATAAACAGAAAAATTCCACAGTTTTTAGTACATTATTTGCATGGTAAAATAATTTCTATAGACATAACTTTTAATAACTAAAATGAGTATTGAATGTTGAACTCAGGAAAATAACACCTGGAAGATTTTTTTCTCTGGAATATTAAATGTTTACCTTTGCTTTTATAAAAATCTATGTAAAAGAAAGAGCTAAATATAACATAAAAGTGAATTATGTACAGTGCTAACACTGAACATTTAAAAATTATTGACTGATGAAAAGGAAGGAAGCAAAGGTTGAAGGAAATGATGTAAATAAGCAAAACCATAAATGACACCCTATACCAGCCACTCTTAATTTATTCTTAACACAACATTACAACCACAAAAAAGAATGTGGAAAATTTACAAGTTTTTAATTTTACTTGTCTGTGGGCAGATATTGTCATTTAACATTTAGACATAACTTGTATTTTGGCTACAATTCTGACATTGTTATGCTGTTATTGTTATTATTTATTATCAGCACATTGAAAAAATTAAAGTTCACCAGACAAGGTAAAGGAAAGTGTGTGTACCGGGGTAGGGGAATGTTTCTTTTAAACAGAATAATTCATTTCCACCAATATCAGGGAACTAGAAACCAAAACACACTTTGATGCATTTTTGTTGTACTTTAGGTTAAACTTAATATTGTCCTAAAAGGTAATGACATCTATTTCATAGAAACAATGTAGAACATGGATACATGCCTTCTAAGACAAGAGGAAAAATTCAAACCACTTTCTAGTTTGACTTCTCCCATGCAATTTCAGTAATTAAGCTAGAGGCACTGCAACTTTCTAGGATGTAAAATACAACTCCATTCAGATGCTAGAATACAAAACAGTATTTCAAAGTCAAGTAGAAATTAATTTGTCCACCGTCTATCCTTTTGGGTAATTGCCATTATTGCTATTTCTCTTTGGGTGAATCACTGAAAACTGACTACATAAATTGTTGTGTTTTTTATAGGGAAACGACTTAGACTCAACATTTGTCACCCAGATTTTAATTTAATTTTCACTCTACCAGACTTAGGAGTGATAGTTCTTCTAGTGCATTATTCTATTACATTTCATCAGCATTGTCCTTTCTTTTTAGTTCCCTTTGGCAAGAAGAAATCTTGCCGGTGCCAATTATGGCTGAGAAATTTACTTGTTCTGTGAGAATATTTACAAGTGTGAGCTAAGTGAGAATCTTAGTGACATATCAGGGTAAATAAGATAGCAGTAATTTGGACATCAGGGTTAGCTTCTCCAGTCTTCCTCCCTCCTTCTGTGGTAACAAAGGACTGTGCATGTGAATTTCTAATCTCAGCTTCTGGCTACACTGGGTCAAGCTTTGTGGGATAAAGGAAGCGCATGGAGACCAACAGAATAAAACATACTGCTCAGTTGCTGATTTACCAGCTTATCGAAGTAATTTCTGTGACTCAGTGGGAAACCAGGTGGAGAAAACTGCTGATCTCATTAGCTAGTGGATTTAGGTGAGGTAACAGAGGGCTTCCCAGCTCTAAATTTCATCAATAATGAGCTTCATGTTCTCTTTGCCATAGTGGGCATCTCTGAGAAACAGACTCCGAGACTCCAAGACGTCTGTGCAGGAAGTCCATTAGGGCCTGTTGGTAGGAACAACCCCTCCTGCAGAGGTGAGGCTAGAGTCGCCATCACAGCAGATCCGGGGTGGGCCTCCAGGCTAGTGTGGGCTATAGCCTGCTTGCATGGGCTCCACAGGGCAGAGTGTACCCATCTCTTCCCAGCATCAGGTTTAGTCACTTCGATGCTGGTGGGGATGGAGCATTTGTAACATAGTCATAAGTAAATGCTAAGAATCAGGGTCTCCAGTCTAACCCTCATTCCCTGGAAAGCTGGTGGATCAGTAAATTTTGAATTAGATAGAATGTTTCTATATGTCTCCATGTCCAGATTCCTGCAATCAGTTCTTATTTTCATATGGGTTATAGAAAGGGAATTATATATTATATTAGGAGTAATATACAAGTTACTATTTTATCCCTACTGTGCTGCCAGAGATATGTATGTCTGCCTTTCTGAAAAATGGGTACCACCTGATGTAATGATCTCCAAAGTCTCTGTGATGTTGTCAAAGTTTAAGTACTAGTGCTGACTCAGCCATGTCCTGAAAAAATATAATTACAAGAAAACCTGAAATGATTTAGTTAGATGATATTACCATTCTCCACCAATAAACCTGCTTACTTATCCCAATGAGGTAGAAGGACACTAATTATAGCATTCTTTGTTTAATAATATCATTAATATTTTTGGAGCCAGTGCAAGGAATGATGCCTCCAACATTTACAGTGAGCTTCCCTACCCAATTAATGTAAAGTAGATAATCCCTGGCAGACATGTTCAGAAGTTTGTCTCTCTCAGATCCTGTTACCTTGATTAGCAATATTAACCACCACAATTCCTTTCTGTATTATCCGTTATTTCATAGAATGATATTGTGCTGTGTTTTATATATATTGTTACTTTATTCTCAAAGCTGGGAATATAAAAGAACTTGTACTAACTTTTGCGTATGTGGAATGCATACATGAAAGTGTATGTCTGTATGTTTTTGCAGACACACGTGTGTATTGGTATGCAAGTTCTTGTGTGTGCAATCATGTGGTGGCTCAAGGTTGATGTTGAGCATATTCATATATAACTCTCCAACTTATATATCAAGGCTGAAACTCTCACTAAACCCAGAGCTTGCTATTTGGGCTAGTCTTGATAGCTAGATTACTCTGGGGACTCTCATTTCTGCCTCCCATGGACTGAGATTAAAGGAAGGTCACCCCCACACACATAGATTTTACCTGTGTTCTCAACTCTAGTCCTCATGCTTGCACTGCAAGCATTTTACCTACTAAGCCATCTTCACAGTCCTGTGTCCCTTTAAGGCAGATGTAATTCAGGTGACAAGGGACTTTGATGAAGTTGAAGCTTCTGTTTGTCTAAAAGGGCTCTTGAGTGATGTAGCATGGATTCCTAAGAATAATCTGA